GATTTATTATTTCAATTGATTGAAAATTAAAACAAAGAAATGTTTATAAAAGTAAAAATTAAATTTCATAAACTAAAAAAAAAACATAAATCTAATAAACTTTTTACTAGAAAATTGATTTAATTATTTAAATATGCGTGACAGTCTATTAAATTAAGGCAACTTTTTTAAAGCACGAATTCCGCTTATTGCCACCCGCAAAAAGCAAACTAACATATAAGCACCAGCAAAAACGAAGAGCCGTTCTCGAGTGCGGAAATTAGCGTGCTGACGGTGTTCGTTGCAATTCTCGGGATGTGCGCCACTAACTGTGTTATGAGCCACACAGAGCTAGCGAGAGATCATCATGCGCGCAATAAAAAGTTGAGCGCGAATATAAACACCACGCGCGCGACCAGCAGACCAAACAAATTGTTTTTTGGAAAAGTTTTCGAGAAACTTTACCAAGAGTCGTGCTGCCCGTCGGTTTTTCCGCCGAGCACATATCCCGCAGGCAGCTCTCGTTTTATTTAATCTACGCACATCGCCGGAGGTTCACTACAAACATAACTTGCTCGTCGTTCCTGTGTGCTTTTCTTACACTTCTGTTTGCTTTCGCCGCCGACCGTCTGAATATGAAACGGCCAGGGTGCTGGAGAAAAGCAAAAATCGTTGCTTTAACTCACTGCATAATTGAAGCAGTTACATAGAAAAAGCAAAATTAATCTAAAAATATGTCATATGTCTTTTATGCATGTTCACCCTTTATTACTTATGTTTATCAATCATTTATTAATTAAGGAAAATTTTTAAATAAGATAAAGAGAAGAAGTTTACCACTGGCATATGTGTGCTAATTTATATTATAACAAAATAAAAATTATATTTAAATCCCTACAGTCAGGCTAAATTGAATATACAGTTTATATTGACGCATTCATCCACTTGATGCACAATAACTATTTATAATTCCAAAATTCAATAATATATGAAGCTTACTTATATAAATATAACAAATAAAAAAAAACATTTTAATTCAGATTTTACGTTATAAATATCTTAAAACTTTTTATATAAACAAAAATAATATTATTTTAATAATGGAATACAAAATTACAATGTTTTATTTACTCAATTATTATTAATTAATAAATTATTAAAATTTATTTATTAAACTCATACTTATATCCACATGTATTATTTATGAGGTGACAGGAGCCTCAATGGCGGATAAATAAACTTAATTTATTTGGCAAATATTAAGAAAATAAATGCATTGAAAGTTCATATTTGGAGCAACTTTCTATATATTTGTGGGATGAGAATAAATCTTGAATTGAAACACAGTCAAATTTTCCGTCCAATTAGCCACAAAATTTATTCACTGATTCTAACCCCCCCTACTAAAAAATTACCACTTTCATAGGTGATTATAGAGATAAATGCTCTTGAGCAATCTCCTCCGTCGTATTTGCTCAGCACTACATGGAGCGCTCTCAAAATTGATTATCTAATAATAGTTATACATATATAATAGCAGCTCAGCGCTTTGAAATCAAATTCTTGTGCCAACCATAATGGAGACGCGCCGTGTGGCGGCAGCAGACACTGTGTCACTCTGTAGTGCGGCGCAGTATGAATGTTTAATGTTATTATCCTGAACCCTCCTCCACATTTCAAACCAACGTGCAGCTTTGCCGAGCGAGCGCGCACATTATAATGCAGAGCGAGACGAGAGCGATAGAGCAGGGTAAATGTAAATTTCACCTCAATATAAATTGAAATATACCAAAATATACATGGCGCGCAGATGAGATGGCATTTTGAGTGCCAACCTCCTGAAATATGCAAGTGCCAAAACGCGGTGGCGCCACGACTCACTCGCTTGATTCAGTTCCGCAATTCTGAGGAATGGTTTCAGAAATGAATTAAACTTTTAATAAAAGATACAATTTGAAATGAATGAAATGAAAGTATTTATTGTACACAGCTGGATGTGATACTATACAAAGATACAAAATTAAACAAATCAAGAAAAGAATTAAATAAAATTAATAAACGAGAAAAAGAGGCAAAGTATTCTTTTTTCAGTGCTTTTGAAGCTTTAGTTAGATTCAGATGTTTCTTTAAACAGTCAAAGAAGTGATAGAGTCGCATGTTCAACAATTTGCTTTCTTATTATTTTGTTGAAAAACTTCATTAGCTCGTTCAATCTTCACTTTCAAAATAAGAGATGTGAACAAAAATTATTGTTGATTGTTATTGTAAAAAGCAAAATAGTTTTTATTTAAAGACTTTTAAAAAAATTCTGCTAGGAAATTTTTTGGATCGCATAAAAATAAATAATTAGTTTTTTTTAAAACTTGTATAAATCAACCAATTTCCAAGATTTCAACACAGTTGGAAGTGGAATATTGATTTTTGTTGAAAAAGCAATAAAGTTACCATTTAAAAATAAATTCGTCTATATCTCGTGGCCGATACCATTTCGTGAGCTTTCCTGCATGTTCTGCGTTACAGGTTGAGAGTATCATATGAAATAAGCAAACAGATAGGAGGTGATGAAGATGACTGCACAGAGGGAGGTATTTGAATTATGAAACGATATGAAGTGGCATGCTTAACGTCTGCGCGCCATCAGCAGCCATCACCGCCCGACAAGAGACAATTTGCATTATTCAGGGGCTCCACTGCGCCGCGCGCGAAATTATTTCCAACTCAATTTACGAGACGACCGAGTAAGCGAGCAGTTGGTAGAAACGGAGCGAGCAAGAGATATAGAGAGACCTCGAGAGAAATTCATTTTTGGCCAAAAACAATGGCCTATTATTCATTTGTCAGCTGCATTCTTCGCGAAATTATTTACGAGCTGCGTGTCTGTCTGTGTGTGATCATATTTGGAATTTATCATTTACATTGCTGCTCTGCGAGCGGAGAATGCCGGCGGTCGTCGAAAAGGCAAAATATGTGCACATTTTCATGATATATTCCACATTTTGGCCGGAGAAAAATTTCGCAACGACTCTGAAATCGGCGCTCGGCGGCCTCTTTGGAAAGGACTCATTTCCATAAGAGACGCGGTGACACTTTCTTGAATATACGTACGCGTATTATTTATTGCACTTGCCGCGTATGATAAATACACACGCAAACTCGCATACGGTAAACGTGCTGCACAAAGGAATCCTCCGTCTCTCTTTTCATCGTCATAACATGCTCGGCGGTGATGTGTGTAAAAATGTAACTCGTGTCCTCTGCATACTAAAACAATGAGCGGTGGACGCAGAGGTGCCCTTTCGCTGATGCTCGGCCTGGGAATGCGCGCGATTGTGGCAATTTATGTCTCTTGATTTCAAAAATAAGCGATACTTGATGCATTTCGCAGTGTGTATGGAAAAATAATTCACATAACTCTGGCGTGATGCACTCTCGATCAAAATAAGATTGGAATTTAAATTTTATGCTTCCCAGAGAACGCCAACAGAGACCTGCATATCAATTTTTCATGTCCGCCTCTGAAAATAATACTAACAAATAGTGTTGAACAATATTTTTATAAAAAATTTAAATAAAATATCACTGTGATTTCAAGTATTCAATCTTTTCATAATAAATAATAAAATATACAAAATATCTATCAATGTAAGTTTTTCCCTGGTAATAAAAGACACATTTTTCTTCATTGAATCATTTCCAAAAAGTGCAAAATTAATAAGAAGACAATATTTTATGTACAGATTACTTTAAAAATTTGAATTGTTTTGTTATGTACAAATTTATTACCTAATAATGAATTGTTCTAATTATTTCAATTGTCAGCTTTATAGTTAAATTATTCTTGCGGAATAAAATAAATTTATACTAAGATAATAAAAAATAACAAACCCTACTTAATTGCATTCAAATTCGGTTCTCGATTTCAAAAAAGAAAATAACCTTCATCTGCAACTGCAGAATCAAAATTTCGTTTAAAATTACAGAAGCACGTGACAATGAGAATTCCAGCAATTCCATTGCGCGCCGCACAATCGCCATGTACAACGCGGCGAGAGATAAGATCTGCGCGAGCCGATCGATCGTTTATAAATTCACCCGCTAATTATTTAATTCAGCCTGCAAATAAATTTCAGCGTGCGCGCACACATGCAAATGTATAATTCGAAGAAGAAACAACTTTTGTACGGACGGAATAATATAATGTGAAAAATCTGCCGGCCGAACGCGGCGGACACTTTTAATTGTGTTTATTAAAGAAATTTGCATTGCGCGGCGCCTTGTTTAAATAAATAACAACCCCGACTTTTGCTGCTTTTTATTTACACAATGGTCAAGTGGCCGCGTGCACGTAGAGGTGCCTCGATCTCTTGGCTGTCGCAAAAAAAAAGGAAAGCTCGCGGAGAAATATTGCTTCGCGAGCGCGACATGACATGTATGTTTGTATTATTATTCTCTGCGTGCCCAAAAATTCTCGGTGCGTGTGTAATTTTGCCTAATGTATAAAAATGCTCGGGCCAAAAACAAAAGAGACACCGCTGGGGAAAAAATTAAAACGTCTGAAGACATTACCTTGCGTGTGTGATCCCTTCATAAATGATAAACAGCGCGGCCAGTTTCCTATTTTAAAATGTCATTTTTCTTCTCGTTACATAAATATTTCGGCGCGCGGCAGCAAAAAGTGACACCGGACAATGCTTCATCCGCGGGCCACTTTTTTCTCTCCTTAATATGCGCCTTTTATGGAGATATTAACAACAATGGTAGTTATGAGAGAGTTGATTTCTATCATTCGAATAAAAAGTTTTTGCAATAATTTCTCCGCGACTTATAAAAATATCTCTGCGGAACCATAAAGACGGCTGCTGCTTTTTTGCTCCGTCGGCCCATTTCTGATGAAGCCCTCTCGTTAATGAGCCCTGATGCCAAAGCAGTTTGACAAGTGATCATAATCAAGATGCCTCTCGGAATTATTTAATTGTGGCGAAAACGATAAAGAATTTATTTCAATTCGCCGTCATCATATTTCATTCTTCAAAGTGTCGTTTAATCCCAAACTCCTCCTCAACTTCCTCTTTTAAATCCTCAAAACTGGCCTCTTCCTTGGAGGATTTGGCAACGTGGCTGACCAGTCTCGGTAGCGGGACAGCTGGACGGTCAGTGTTAACGCAGACGTCACTCATCGTCTGGGCTTCAGAGTCTACCCTAGGTGCACACTGCGTCTCCCTGTCCCTCTGGATGTTCGACGGGTGAGCCCCGATGTTCTTCGTCTCGTACTGCGTATCCAGAACATGAGGTTTGTCCCACTCGCTCCAGGCGTCGTTCCACTCCTCCTTCATAGGCAGTCGTTCGGCTCTTGCCCTGCTCGCTTTTTCGCTGGTCATCATGTGGATGGGGCGCCGTAGTGTCTTCAGCCTCTCCAGGGCGGGAAACTGATCCTGCATGTCCAGCAGGAGAATCAGCTCTGGACGTTTGTGTCCAGCACGGTGGACCACATCTGCGTACTTGCGAGGGTTCTTGCCAAATTCATCCATGGCCTCAGGTGAGCTCAGGGTGTAGAATTGGTCCCTCCACTTGCAGAGGCCCAGGGACAGGTCACCCTTCTTGATGTACGAGTGCTTGTCCAGCACTGAAACCACGCAGATGCCGTTCAATGCCAAGGGTAATTCTGGACTGAAAATAAGTTTTTTAGAATAAAATGCTAAAATCTAAATTAACCTTTTTTTTCAAATAAAATCTACGAAAAAAAATCAAATAATTTTTTTATGAAATAAAATCCGGCTACGAGAAAAGAGTTTTCACACATTTAACAATTTTGTCAGTTTGTTGAATTTGGTTGAAATTTATTTTTAAAATAGAATTAATTCTAATAATCTGTATTAAAAAATTAATGAGAAAATACTGTAATTTATTTTTAAAATTTTTTGAATATAATTCGATTGTTAATTTTTAAAATGCAATTAAAATTGGTTTAATGTCATCAGCTTAATTCATTTCAACAGCTCACGAATTAGGGTTGCAACCCGAAAACGAAAACTAAAGTAGAGCAGGGATTTTCTATATCATGCAGAAACAATCAAATTGCTCATCTCCACCGAGGAAGCCAGATTTTATTTCATCTAAAAATGAACAAGTTGAGTGCCAAAAGGTTCCACAACAACTACAAGACCTATGTAGAGACTTAAATTTTACTCTTTCAAGAATTAAAATGAAATTTAAATAATTTTCTTACTTGACGGGCACCCATTCAGCGTCATAAATAGCAGCAATCAGTGGCGACTGACACGTTTTGGGACTCGCAATGCACGATTGGCATTCGTCAGTCAGAGGCGTCTCTGGGTATTTTTCGAAAATCTGCGAAAAAGTCTCCTCGTGCAGAGAGTTGAAAATTTGTTCGCCAATTTTTTTAAGTCTCTCGTAGACGCAGTTGATGTTGCTCAGGGCCAGGTACTCGCAGTAAATGTCGGTGAAAGCTTGTCCCAGTTCGTGCAGATTGACCAACATGCTGTCGGGTGCGTCTCCAGTCGCGTGATGTGACTGGTCGAGCACGAGCTCACTTCTTACAGTGTCGACCCTGAACTCAAGAATTTCCAGCCTGGCCTTGGAACAAAGAATCTTCCTGAGCATCTGACCGAGGATGATTTCCATCTGAAGGTGATAGGTGAGGAGGGCGTGCGATTGTGCAAAGACCGAGTCAAAGGCACCGGACAGTTGGTGACCATCGAGCAAGGCTTGGATAAGTTTGATGTAGATTCCTGAATCATCCAGGTCGCTCTCCAACTCCGCCGTCAGCAGCACCTGAAGGTCATACAAGGCCAGGTACATACCGGTCAGTTCAGCAGCCACTCGACCTTCAGGGTTGAAAAGCAAAATGCTTCCAAGGGCGCGTTTGAACAGGGCCTTCACTGTGTCAAGCTGCTCCTAATTTTTATTTTTTAATTGAAGAATTTTTACTATTTAAAATTAAATACTTCAATCTCGAGCCGGAAAAACTTTTTCAGGTCAGTCCGGGGCATCAGAGTCTCAAGGGATGTCCGTACCTCATCAAAAACGTAGTTTTTCAACGTGAAAGTATGCAGGAAAATGTCAGCCAAGGTGCAATAGAAGGCCTTATTTTCATGACGATCTTTGTCCTCTGCCAGTTGTTCCAAGAGGTTCCGCAGCATCCTCTCCAACTCGCCATTCAGCCACCCTGTGATTTCCTTCTGGCTCTTCAGAACGTGCATTTGGTACTCCGCCTGCGTTTTCATGGCTAGCATGTTGATTTTCTTGGAGCTGATCACGTCCAAGTGCACCGTGTGAGCCAAATCTTCGTCGGAAAGCAAGGTGGAGAGCGGATTCAATCCCGAGTATTGCATGTCCAGCCGCACCAGAAACTCGACCTCGTTGGGTGACAACTTTGGTTCTTTCATTATTACGTAGTTGATTACTTCCTGAATCTTTTCCTCTGGAGAAGACGACATTTCTCTTGAAACAGACATTTTAAATTTTATATGTTACTGTTCAAATTACAACAATATGAATATTTTGAGTTATTCTTTTTAATTGTTGAAATATAATTATTTGTTTTTGGAGATGCTTTATTTTAAAAGTGTTTGCATTGTTGTTACCCTATTCCAATTATTGGTACTTAAAAAAATAATTATGCATAATAGTACCAAAAATATTAAAAGTGTTTAAATATTTTACAATTTTCTTTAATTAAATTTTATATTTTAGTTACATCAAAAACTTTATGATATGATTGCTACTTATTTTAAATTAATATTTTACAAATGAAAATAATTATAAAATATTTATAATTTAACATATTATCTTTGTTTTCATCGGTATTAACTTCTAAATAAAAAATATTTTGAGAATTTTTTGCACCAGTTAATTTTTAGTAAACACTAATTTTAATATATCGAATACTGCAAAACAAGATTGAAATTTGTAATCGCATTAAATATTTCGGAAGAAATATCTATTTTGCCTCTGTCAGCCTTTGTAAATAAAAGATTTAATTGAGATTGTAGAGAATCGAACATAAATTAATTGAATTAAAATTGAAACATACAATGTTTTTTATAATGAATAAAAATTATATTTCAGGCTGATTATTTATTTCTTTACATTGCAATTTTGAAAATTTTTTGTGGATATTATTGATTTTTTTTTTCTTTCCACGTTTGCTCGGCTATAGATCACACACTAGCGGCGGCAATTTAAAGTGACGGAACAGCCACCGGTCGGCATTAAAATTTCGACTTGGATATTGATAGCTCTCGGTCCCTAACACAATGGCCTCGTTTTCTGCCGCGTTACTTTTTAGCTATGTGTGCGCTTTGACGTGCTCCTTTTAAAATAAAACAAAAAGAGAAGAAGCAGAAAATATCTGAAGCGACCGAAAGACAGAGAGAGCGCACTGGTTTTATCCAAACGATTGAGGATAAATAAATAATACAAAGGCTGAACAGATCGGCGGCGGCATTTCAGGCATTGCTAGGAGAAGAGCGGCCAATTATGAACAATGGTGCTCCTGAGATGAATTTTTAAACCATCTTTAAACGCGCTCTTGGCGTGCGTCTCGAAAGGCACTTTTGCTCGCGCCGCGTGTGCATCTCGTGGAAAAAAGAAATTGAACTCGCTTCCAGGAACAAAATATGAAATTAAACACTTTTTGCCCCCGGAGGCGACCAAGCATGAAAAATTCCGTGTCATAATTTTTGTGATGCAGAAAAATGGCTTTGTTATATACACGGCGAGGTCGATCGGACACGCTTATGAGAGGTGATATAAATTTCTCGGCTTTTTTATCCCACTGCATGACTGGACGAAAAAAGGGGCAGCTACCGTTGTTAATAAAGTGCTGGCTGACAATGGCATTTCTCGTTACTCCGAATCTCTTGTTCGGATCATATCAATGAGAGACTGCCAAGTTCGGAATCGGCCGTGTGTGAGGTCGGAAAGTAAAATTTCGGCTGCTTACGACGCGGAATTTCATTCAGGTGGCTGAGGTTTCGGACAATTAAGAGGATGCGATTCGGACGCGATAAATAGCCGGAAAGCAGAGGCAGAGAAGATCTAGAGAAACAAAGCGGCTGTTTTGGGGCGCCCTGCTGCGCCGCTACCCGTCTTACACCTGGTGCTCATTGTGGGCGACTTCAATGAGCGGTCACGAATTTGGCCGCCGTGCATTTCCCGCCTCGGGCTCCGATTTGCTCATTTAACTTGTGATTGATATCGAGTGGCGATTGTGATTAGAATTGAATGAGAAAAACATGCTCTATAAGCCGGCATGCTTTTTAGCACCACTATTATTTTTATTTATAAACTAAAACATTCAGTGGACAAATATAATGACTTTTGTTTCAAGGTCCATTCTGTGACGGTGACAATATTGAGCGAGACCAAAACGCAACCAAACGGATTCAGTAGCTTCTCTTTATATTATTCTTTTCAGAAATAATCGAGCCGGGCGCAAACATTCAGCTGGTTTTGTTCGTGCCCGTTCAGAGAGCCTTTTGTAATTTACACCCACGTTCACCGACAAAAATAAATCTATGGAGTGCCAACTGCCAGCGAGCACACGCATTTCGGAATAATAATTAACTCGGTACACGTTGAATCGACCTTGCATAATTAAAACGGCGACTAAGGTCGCGCCGGTTGAAATTTACAAACAAGAGACAAAGGAGCCAATTATAAAAAAAATCAACTGTCTGACAGCGTTCTTTGCAAATTTCCATTTAAGAATTACTGTCAATGAAGTATGTAGTGCTGAAAATTAGAATTATGTTTTTATTTCATTCTTAATTCATTATATTTAAAAAATATAAAATGAAGTCCTAGTGTGTTCAAATAGATAATTAAATAATTTATTGTCCCAGTAATAGTGCTGGTTGTAATTTTTCTTTTAAAACAATATTAGATGATACAAGCGCATAATTAAGTGTAAAGCTGTTTCCATACAGGCTTAATTTTTTTGATAGTTTGTGTTTGTACGTAATTAAATTGAAACTATCTGAGAGAAAAGGCCAGTTCTGTTGCCTAATTTTTTCATTGTTTAATTCGGGTTTAAATTTTTTGAGGATGTAAACAATCTTATTGGTAATTGAAGAGTTACTGCACGTATATAAAAAACAATTTTTTTCGCACAGTTTGAGCAAAAACAAAAAAAATTATATTATTTTAAAACTTGGAAGTAAATATAAAAAAAAATAAATAAAATAAAACAAATTGAAGGAAAAAAATTTGCTCCAGCAATTCCAGATTAGTTTCTCACACTCGTGACTTCTGCGGGACCATTAATTGGAAATGGGTGTAAAAAACCATAACATACAAATAGACAAGCATCACCGGCGTAAAATGATCTCGTGGCACGTCTCTCGTTCTGCTGAGAGGTTTAACTTTTCAACGCGTACGTATGTGTTGCATGGCTGGCTATCATTTCGACATCCCAAAATAAATTACAAGCATGATTCAGCCATAAATGATATTGCGCCGGGCACGGTATTAATTATAACGCGTCGTTCGGCAACAATGACGAAAAATAATCCGGTAGCATCTCACTCTCGCCTCGCGTGTTCAAACAGCCCTGCTGCCACAGCTAATTTTGATGATACACAGGCAGGTATAAGTGCCATGTGTTGATGTTATTAATAAAATAATAAATGATGGTCAACAACAGCTCGTCCCTCTCTCTCATTTCTCACGCCCAATCCGTCGTTTTGATTTATTTACAGCCGGCAGCGAATTTTTCCTCTCTTATTTGTCCTGCACAATGCGAGTTTAGATTAGACGCTCGGCAAGGATGACTTTTTGACTCGATACGTGCAATTGTGAGCGATTCTCCACGCAACTCAAACTGCAAATTAGAGCCTGCTGCTTGCAATTATGTAATTGGGACCCTTACCCTGCGCTTGTTAGTTGAGCTATGAGATGATAAAAAAAAATGATTGGCTCTTGCTTTCTATCAGAAAATTCAAACTATCCAAATATAATTTTATTTTAATTTTAATAATTTTATCTTCAAATAACATGTATTTCAAATTGCGTTCTTAATTAGATTTTGATGTATTGATTTGATGCAAAATGGTTCTTCCAATGTATCGGAAACGGAGAATACATCAATAAATTTTTGAACCAATTCTTCAATGAAAAATGTTAATTCCAGCCTCCCTTTAAAGCGACCCTCATCATCCCTTTTCTAAACCCCCCTTTAAATGACATTTTTTTTTTTAATTTACCACGTGCACTCTGACTAATTGCATAATTTTCGTCTCGCACTAGCCAAAATGAAAAAGATTAATTTTTATTTATACTGGTGAAGTTCAGATTTTTTTTGAAGGGGTGTATAAAGGCGCCGATCAGCATTAGATGTATTTATAAATAAAATATCAAGGCAGTACACATGGAATTAATTTGCAACCGTGAAATTTTTAATAAAATATTCACCCCCTCCTCATGTCTCAGCAAAAAAGGGGATGAAAATTCACCCTTGGATTCTTTAAATGTCCCTGTAATAAAAGATTAATTGATACAATGATATCCTATAAATTACTTTGTTTGACTTTTTCTTTTCACAACTTTAAAATCAATTAAGTTAACAGTGAGAGAAAGCAAATTTGAACTTACTTAATTGTAAAATACAAAATAGAAAAAGTTTAAAAGCTGCTTACTTATGAAAAATAAATTTTTTATTTTTTTATCACAACTTTCGTTAGACAACGCAATTCGCAAGAGTCACTACAATTATAAATTTATATATTGAGCAAATGTAATTTACCGTTCATTTTATTGTATTGCGCTTTCTGAGAATTGTGTCTGCCACTGGCTCTCATTTATGTTATATTTGTACAGTATCATTTGAGTGCGTCGTCGTCGTCGTCGTCGGCGATTGTTTTGATTATTATTTTATTGTGCCACACTGTATCGTGGCCTTTTGTCCGCCCGACGACGTAAAAGGCAAAACGGGCATAACGCTCTTCGATATATAATAACTGTCAGCCGCGGCTGATGGAATAAATGATTCAGAAAAGAGCAATATCTGGATGTCGTCTGACGAGCAGCTCGTCATTTCACGGAGAGCAGGTTCAATCGAGCAAAAAGTGTACATTTTAATTCGGGCCAATTTGCCTTTGAAATAAGTCGGAGAGACTAAATTTCATTCGGTCGGATGGATCTGAGTTATGGCCCCTGTTTGCTTTGCATGCATTTCGATTTCACGCCGTAATTTCTCGCCGCCATGAGTTTGTTCCGATTTGAATAATGCAGCGTATTAATTCTCGCGCGCTCCCAATTGAAGCAATATGCAAATCGGTGGCGCGAGAGGCCCCGGGCTCGCGTGTGGAGGAGAGATGGGTGCTGGGAGGTTATGATGATGATGTGTCGCGGGATTATCCTCGCCCCGTGACATCTGCCCTGCTTCTCAGTGAGCAAACGGAAAGCAAACTTGCAGGGGCCGATCTGCATAATAATA